ACGTTGATGAAAATAGCAGAATTGCAAATGTTAGCGGAAGCTTACAAACCGTCAAGTTTTCGATGGCGTGACACTGTTTTTGTTCTGCTGAGGCGCACAGGGGCCATGGCTCGCCTACCTTGTTCAGAAACGGAACATCGTTTTTCTAGGTTCACGTGAATACGATGCAGTCTGAAACGCTGTCATCGCGCGAGTGAATACATCATATCGCGCCGCTTTTCGGGTAAAAACGTCCGTCCGGACCTTGACGACAGTGGCATATATGAAACAGAGGACAACGAAAATCGACTATAGTAGTTTAAACGCTGCTGTCAGGCGGTCACCACATGTTTGCAATTAGAATACCGCATACAGTAATATGACGATTATTAAGAAGTGCGCGTCCTGACATTCTCCCTCAGGAGTGCGCCTCCTAACATTCTCCTCCAGAAGTGCGCGTCCTGACATTCTTCCCTGAGGGGCGCGCGCTGCGGTATTCTCTCACGGGGCGCGTGTCGATCGGGCCTCAAACGGTTGTGGCCCCGGGGTGCGCGCTCCTCGGTCCCACGTTTTTGTCCCTCTGACACGGACTGGCACCCATCATACGATCGACCGCCCCCCGCGACCTGACCGCGGGTAAATCACCGGCTGCGCGCGCCGTCTCGCCCGGCGGCGGCGCAAAAACGCCGTGGCCGCCGCCGGCCGCCGGTCCCCGTCAGTCGCTCCACATGCAGATGTTGTCACTGACCGACGTCCGGCCGGCAATTAGCGCGCTCGATGCGGCCATGGGGCGTCCGAGCGGCGGCCGGCCGGCGCGGCCGCGGCGGCGGCGCATTCCGCCGCGCTCTCACACGTTTTTCCCGGCTGTGGAGTGCGCCGACGGCGGTGTGCGGGCCTGTTTCTGCGGCTGCTGACAGCGGCCTGTGTCCGTCAGCGCGCAGCTCTCCGGGCGGCTCTCGCGCCGTCACGCGATCAGCTGTGACCGGCATGTTGTTCTCGGCGCGGCGCGGCGGCGGCTTTAATGCCGATGCCGGCCGGCGGCGGCGCGCTGCAAAACTCGACGCCGGCCCGCTGCCAGCCGTCTATCGGTGTGAATCTTAATAAATGACGAGTTGCTATCGGCGCCCGAGAGGCTTGCGTCACCCGGGCCGTGTCGCAGATAGCGGCGACACGCCGCGTGGTCACGCAATGACCAGTGCAGTGCGATCAGGCACGGAGATAGCCGGCGGCGGCCTCCCGACGGCGGTCCGGTCCGCACCGCCTGCTCTCCCGGCGGGCACCTCCCTCCCGGCGGTGGTTGCTCCCGGCCTCTCTCCCAGCCGCCGCTCTCCCCGCCGCGCCGGCGCCGGCGCACCGACAAATGTACCCTGTCATTCGTCTGTCATCGGACACGGAAAAAGCGCCGTATCGCCCGACGCGGACGTGGGACGCCGATCAGCGTCTCCTAATGGAGATGTCGCCGCGCCGGTGGTGTCGGCACACACCAGGTGCGGGCCGGCCGGCACGAGCGTGAGGCGCGGATCAGCGCAGCGCCGCAGCCGCCGCGGCCCCGAGCCCTCTGAATGGCGGGTCGTGACGGCCGCACGACCCGCACAGCAGCACTGGAAGTCTGTGGACCTCTCTAACAACCCGGGACGACCGGCGTGAGTCAGGGCATCTCTCAAAACCGCAGCGATCGCCGGGAAAACGAGCCATTTCAATTTGTGCTGTATAAGATGATACGCGACTTCGAGGTTTAAATACATTCACACTGGTAAACAGCTTCTACGTTCTTGGTGTCATCATATCTTTGCAAGAAAGGTTAGAAGAGTCAGATTGCAGCACTTGGATTCAGAGGGGCCCCCTCTGAATGTGTGACGTCAGGGCAAATCTAACGATTTTAAATATTTTACTAAAACGTTTAGTAGCACGCGGTGGTATATAGCTACTTTGCGCGCAACAAGTGCCGCACTTTCAAATAAAGTCGCTAGGAACGCGAAGATCCCAAAAAGTAAACAAAGGTAGAAGTCTAATATCTTGAAAACCGGTTTTATTTTTCGATGAAATTAGGTAGATATTCGTTTTCGCTCTTTCTGAACCGAGCGACATCATTTTCATGCCAATTCATTAACTTTTTTGAATGTGGGAGGGTCCCTTTAACCCTATTACTGGTGGGGGGGGGGGGGCCAAATCGGCCCCCACCTGTAGTTTTTTTTTTTGCTTTCGACGGAAAACCACTTTGGATAGGGACTTGAAATTTGGTGACTTTTCCTTGCCATTCATTGGGCACATTGTGTCGAATTTTTTAGTTTCTAGCTTGCGCTGAGGCGTCTCCAGGACGAGTTTCTCGGGGGTAGGTTTGGCCTAGCTTTGACTGTTCCGACATTTGCCGCTTAGCAGCGACTTACTTAGGTTTGTAATGGTGATCAGTGGCACCCCCCGTCATATGTATGCACCTAAAGACTATGTGACGTCATTCTACAATGAAAATATTGGAATAGGCGGACCCAGGTACCTGAGAAAGAGGGGTAATCTCAATGTATGTACTGCCCCCCGTCTTAGCATGCCTGAATCCGCCTATGCTTAACGAAAACGTGTATTTTGTGCTCACGCTGCACATTTTACATGATATATGGCATATTATGTCATAAGACACATGACATACCATGACAAAAACTCAAAAGATCATCCCAAGTTAGGCTACCTAAATCCGCATATGATTTTTGAAACATCCAAAATGCCGGAATATATATGACAGACTAGTTCATGAAGAAGGGTCCCCTGAAGTTTTATTAAAATCGGTCAAAAATAAAAAAGTTATAGCATTTTTAGTGATGAGATTTAAAACGCTATTTTTCGAAAAACATTGCTTCCAGGACCCCCAATTTTGAACTTTTTTGACTTTTTATAGCGAATCTGAAAGTTCACGTTGAGAGCGATGGAAATTCGAATGGCGTTTGTCCCATTAAGATCGGACATTTAGTTTTCGAGATATCAAGGGGGCCGAATCGCCCCCTCCCCCCCCCCCCCCCCCACCAGTTAACGTAGTCTAAAAAAGCCCACTAGTAAAAGGGTTAAGTATCTAATGCATCTGCATGAGTGAGGATCAAAAATACTTTTACCATCATGATACCAAAAACATAATGGATAAAATGCCTGTAAAATGCTACAAACCAAATTGCTATCGGCTTGGTATCGGTATTTTAAAAAGGCGGTATTTGATTGACACCTCTGCACAAGAACAGATACCCAAAGTAGAATCCAAAGATAATTGTAATTTGATGCTCCCATGCAGGGGCTCCCATGTATGCTTGTGGTATCACTCTGATCTTTTGGTCATCACCATGCAGGCCTAGATATTGCAAGATGAAGGGTCTTTTTAACAAATAAACTAAATAGTTACGAAATGACTTCATTTCATACTGCGTACCTACTCTACTCATTTCACTTGCAGCACATTTCCTTTGCTGTTTCATTGTTGCCTACCCGAAGAAAGTGCAACCCATTGTGTTTTCTTACGTTCCGGTAAGGGGCTGGTTTTCCGCACACCTATGATGTCTGGCATTGATAAGGGCGGCAGTCGCATATAAAAGGACACCTCAGCTAATTATGTCCATGCTAGCGTACAAAAGAAACGCAGATATCCATCGATTATTCGTGGCTGACTCAAATTTAGGCAGAGTTTTATCTACAGCGTTGTTGAGCAAAGTAGCCAAGCTAATAGGGGGAGTTAAAAAGCAGCATTCCGTTTTTGCACTGTCATTGGGGAACACATCACACGGACGGCCAGTCACCTTTCGGCAAAGGCCTGTCCTTGCGTGCCGGCTGATGTCGCATGAAAACGTCGGCCCACAGCACGACGGGCAGCGGCCGATTCCTGTGATGGGGCAGCCACGTAGTTCAAAACTTCCGATGCCTGCGTTATATTTAGCGCGTCACGTCACTGACGTGGCACAACGTCACCTGCTGACGTGATGGAGCCCTGCTACCGACGTAATGGAACACTGCTACCGACGCAACGACTGCCGGTCTGATCCCACCTGCCGGCGACCAGCCCCGGCTCTCCACATGCTTCGCGTTTTTAGGAGGTGGACATTGGCTTTGTGGAATGTAGCGGTGCCGTTTTGATTTAAGTCTTTGCATGAGCACGTTCTTCAAACGCATTCAGGTCCAATTTATTTACTGCAGAGCCTCTTTACTATTTGGTCTTCTCAGAATCTCTCACTGCGCGAAAAGTATAGATTTCGCGAGTGCTCCTGACAGGTACCTAATTTTACATTTAGGCATTTGTGAAATCAAGCTGGATGGCACCAGCTGATCTTTTAAATAGATGTAGCTGTTTTTAGAACGCTGCTGAAAGTGCTATTTATATGACTAGACGCGATGAGACGTGGGCTAGCACGCTAGCACTATCAAAGCAATACGTTATTCGTGTTTGACATGGATGCGTGGATGTACACGTGACGTATGTCTAGGGCTCGTCTCACTGTGTGGTAGACTGGTAGGTATTTATTTCGACAAAACCGAGAATAACTCGAAGACTATGCCATTGATGACTAAGTTATCATATAGAATCCAGACAAGCAAGGTTTCACTTCTAAGATTTGGCTCATTACTGTCTAATTTCTCCACTCAGTTTAGCGGCGATAGACAAGAGAAACAAACTTGTTATTCGGTACCACCCTGGGTGGATACGCACTACGCAGACACCATTCAAAAGGATGGAGCTGTGCTTTGATTTCCGAGCGGCTGCTATTATTAGCCTTTGAGCTATCCTCAATCTTGTCGAAAAAGAATGCATACCATGCGCAGTGAGACGAAGGCCGTTCATCGTAAATGTTCGTAACATTAGAACAGTATATATTCAAGAAGGGAATTAAAAAAAATCTGATTAAAGCATAATTGTGTTTAAAATGAAATGGTAACAAGCATATTTCATTGTGTTTGCTGTGGATGCGAACTTAACCCATCATATTAAAATCACTGTCGCTTTGTGCTGGACATAATTTGCTGGCGTGTCTGGTGACCGAAAAACACAAAACTACTATAAATTAATATATTTCGTCGACATACGAATGTGAATGCGTGTGATAGTCGTAACACCCATAATTAATTTGCTGCTAGCAGTCAACCTGAAACCTGTGCTATCTAGCTGGAGGATCGACAATTGGCACTTAGAGACACCTCACAGTGGTGTCGTGGAATCTATCTATGCAGGCTTGTCATGCAAATAACACAAATGAGAAAACCATTCAAACCTGAAACTCACTCAAAGCTGAAAATGTTGGGCGGCAAATAAATACACTTATTCTAAACCTAAGCGCACAAACGTTAACTTATACACAGGCAACACAGGGTGCAAAAGACGGAGACTGGCGCCTCAGTGCTCCGACTCCGTAAGCATTTCAACATGCTCTCACCGCCTGGCACAGCACATCCGAGCCCCTGCTCTCAGCTCACACGACAACTAGCACAAGATCACAGTCGGGAGGGACGGGGCGCGCGCCGGCTGCACATTACACCGACACGGACAGCGGTCGCCAGCCCGAGCGCTGCAGCCCGCGCAGCGAATTTCGCCCCCTAAATTAGTCCTAATTACAGCAGCTCCAAATTTAGATCCGCCTAACTGAAAACGCTTCACCGAACAGTCCGCCATTGCCTACCAAACATGACTCAATCCGACACCAGTCCGTCGCTAACTACTTGAACGGACTGGGTACAAAGCGTTGACTTCACAGCACACTTAGTATGTAGTTGAAAATAAATAAGCTGGAAGACACAGTTAAATGGCACGGTCTGCTTGGACGGTATGGAACACCCGGATACAGTGACCTATTTGAGCAACTTATCTTGGCTGGACAGCATGGCTATATAATTAGCTCAACGTGGCTGGACAGCTGGGATAAACCGGACAGCTATGCATGGCTGGACAGCCTGGCCTGGCCGGATAGCACGACCGGCCAGCAGCGGGGAGGCGCTGGACAGCAGACAGCCGGCCGGACAGCCGCGCTGGACAGCAGACAGCTTCCAGGCAGGCGCGCTGGACAGCAGGACCGGCCAGACAGCCGTGGCGGGGAATAGAACCGACGGAGAGGCGACAGTCGCGACGGTCTGAACGGATGACTCGGCGTTCCTGGACAGGACAGATGATCCCGGCCCCGGCGGCTCGAGACGGCGCAGTCCCGGTGCCGCCCCGGCCCGGGACAAGCACCCGGTCCCGCGGCTCGTGACGGACAGTCTCGGTCCCGCGGCTGGGACGGGAAGGTCCCAGTCCCGCGGCTCGAGACGGCACAGACCCGGTCGGTAGCAGCGCTCTCTCGGGCTCGAACATCACACCTTGAGCTTGACGGCCTGGAAGCTCTCCTCCTGGACGGCCCTGGCCAGCAGAAGTCTGGAACGGACGGCCCACCCCAGTCAGAAGCGGGAGAGGCATTTCGCAGCACCATGGTCTTCTGACAAACAAAAACCAGCGGCTGCTCGTAGTCTCCTTTGAACGACAGATAGCTTTATACATGGATGTAGCTTGTTATGATACGCCATATTTTTGTTTAAGATATAGTATGTTGCTAGATTCAAATTTGCCTGATATTAATCATAACATCATTAAAGTTGATGCTAATACCATGACAGTTTGCCTTGACTGTGTTATCGGCGTATTCCATCGCTCCCAGGGATGGATGCCGTGAGTGACGTTCAAAAATATTAAATGGCCATCTGTAGCGATGCTGTTGATAGTGTCAGAGCTGAAAACACCTGCCGTTCGCAGTGTTTACACGGCCCCGCTGAAAAGTGTGTGCTGGCGAGCCGCATGCACGGAGACGGAAGAACTGGACGGCAGGCGCCAATCGGGGCGACTTTAATTCCATCGCCACATGATTTAATCGGTCTCAGCGGCTGCGGCGCACACCTTCCCAGAAATGACCAGACATTGGTTTTGGTGCAGTTCAAGTATACCAGAAGCATCTACACATCAATTGTTTTAGCTAGTTTACATCGGATCAAAATAATTGAAAAATTATGCTTGTTTTACTAGCCGCAGTGCTTGCAAGCGTTACGAGCGAAGCTCTGGCGGAATTCTAAATTCTTAGCAAATCCTCTGAATACCAATTTCTATAGGCTACGTAATAGCCTGGTTTTATCGGCATTCTAGAAAACATAGCATTACGCTATTGGTATTAGGTAAATGCAACAGTATAACGCCTTTTGGGGCGAGTAACGGAGCGAGCGAGAGGGTGAGCCTTGCACGTGCGAAATTTCGAGGGGGTACGTCCAACTGACTTGTGCACGGCACCCTACTAACCGGTTTCTAGCGATGTGCCAAATTTGAGCACAATCGGCCCAGCCGTTCTCGAGATCTGGAAGCGGCACCCTGCACGTGCGCACGTGCAAAATGGGTCCCAACTGACTTGTCCACGGCACCCTACTAACTGGTCCCTAACCGTGTACCAAATTTGAGCGTCATCGGTCCAGCCGTTCTCAAGATCTGGAAACGACCTCTGCACGTGCGCACGTGCAGCAGCACCCCAACTCTGGCACATGGATATACAGTGCCTAGTGGATGCCTATCTACATGCTAACTTTCAGCGCAATCGGCCAAGTAGTTACCGAGATATTGCAACAATTACAAAACTGACACCTCTTCGTTTTGCACGTGGCACGTGCATAAGGGGTCACCCACATGCATCGGGAACAGTCCAATACTTGGTAGAAGGAATGAAGCTACCCTACAAAAATTACCGCATGTAAATCGGTCAAGTGGTTGCTGAGATATAAGCCTCGCAAAAGCGTGGCCACGGCCGGCCGGCCGGCCGGCCGCTCAATACTCAGAAATTTCCGTTAATCTAAGGAAAGACTCCGCTCGTTTCGCCATAGAGATTCGCTCGCTCCGTAATAAATGTCAATCCACTGCAACGTAGGAAATATTTACGTTAATAAAAGAGATGTACCGCTGATGATCAGCTGAGAAATAAATTTTAATATTATTATTAAGTAGAGCCCGTTCTGACAACTGAGTGCTTGGATAAAAGTCAACACGGAGCTTAGGTATATTCTTTAGAAATCACAACATAAGCAACAAGGACGAAAATGATGTCAGATCAAATTACGTACAGTTTATTACTTACGCACCAGTGACTATCTTTGCGGTTGAAGACGTGCACGGAACAGCTATCTACCTACAAGAAACTTATGTTCTACGACTTGGAAATAGAAAAAAATCCCTAAGATCCCTTCGACCCATACGTATGCATTTATCAGGCATGTACTGCAATTGCATACCTTACTGATTAAAAAGAGAAATATAAAATAGCACTTACTATATAGCTTGAAGATATGTAGATGCATGCATGCATTGGTGAAGTCACCTTCTGTAAAGGGTTAACGTATTGAGTCAGTGAACGATACACCGAGAGGCATTGGGCAACCGAACACTACGCTACTGAGAGTCATGCCAGGTGCTGTTTCCCTCGACGTGCAATAGCGAACGCTGGTTGGATGAAGTCACCATTGACGTGTTTCCCCTCGCGCCTTTTATCAGTTGTCTGGTATCTTTGGAGGTGGTCCGGGGTCGATTGGGAACGGTGACGCCCCTCCGTCTGGTCCAGACAGGGTGTCCCTGTCGGGAGGGCCGGGCGCCGCCCCGTGGGTGACACTCCCTTTGTCAGCGGACACGGGCCCCGTCCATGGGTGTGACACCTCCGTCCCGCCGCCCCAATTAGTCTCGTGGCGGGCCGGCGCCGCTCGCGGCACGGCCGTCCATCAGGCCGCATTGGCCCACAGCGCGGCGGCCGGCCGCTGTAAAGCCGCTCGGCGCGCGCGGGTGGGCCGGCCGGCCAGCTCGTGGCCAACAATGCCCGAGTGCTGAGTTACGGCCGCTGCCGGCGCGCCGCGCGCCCCGCACGTGGGCCGTCCGTGACGCGGCGCCGCGGCGGCGGATGGCGGCGCACCGGCGCCGTGGGTGGCGCGGCAGTTTGTCTCCATTGGTCAGCGACCGAGAGTCAGAGAGAAAGAGAGATGTCACCGGCCGGCGACAAAGGGCGCGGGCCGAGGAGAGGGTCGCTGGGAGGGCGGGCCGTCGGATACCAGGCCGGCCGGCTCATGTGTGGGCCGACAGAGGCCCACCGGCCGGCCTGCTCTGGGACAGCCGAAAACGGAGGTATGTATGCGGACAGGGAGAGGAGAGGAGATCTCTCTTGTCATGGACGGACGCCTTTCCTTGCCGATGACGACCACTGCAGTAACGGCCATCGGAGGGAGGCTAGCCAGTACCGGCACCTCAGTGTGCAGGCTGGTCGCTGGCAGCCGGCAGCGCACCTCTCGGGGGAGCGGCCGGTCAGAGGTCACGGCAGGGTCGCGGAGCCGGACAGGATGTCTGCCGGGGCTCGGCGGAGCGCCCGGCGCGACCCGGCCCGTCTCTGCAGCACGGCCCGCCTTTGAACGCGCCGCCCGGCCATTGACGCGGCTGCAGTGAGGCAGGCGCCTCTGCCCAGCGCGGCCGCTGCAGTCACGCCGCGCTCAGTGAATAACCGACTCATTATCAATCTTGTGCTAAGGCGAAATCCGCACAGATTTGTAATACAATGAATGCGTTTATTTTCGGTAATCAATTTTGCTACATCGTTAATAACAATGTCTCGTGAGGAACTTGTCGCCCGGTAACAGATGACTGCCGAATGACTCGGCTGTTTTCGTCTCAATTACATATCATGATGAAGTCGTTAACAGAGTGGCTGGTAATTTGTTTCTTTTGTTGACGCGTGACCACCGGTGCCGGATGCGGGCTCACGAGTCGCCGGGCTCTCGGCGGGTCGCACGCTATCCCGGCGATAGTTCACACTCCGCCCCCCTGCAGTGAGCGCTCACACGAAATGGACCCGGACCAATTCGAACGGCACGACTTGGAACAGCCGCCGGAGCATATTCAAATCATCGCGGTTTCACGCTTCAAGGGAGTCGGCCGGATGGACACGCTTTTCTTGCGTGGAAACTCCATTAAGAAATCAGATCTCCAAACAGGCTAAGGTCGATTTGTTTTCAGTTTCTATAGAACTTCATACCGCTAAAACCGATGATGATGTTTTGACGTACAACAAGCTTTTTCTTTTAACAATTTACCTCGAACATCTAATGCGTAATTCCGGGATCCTTTTGGGTCTTATCGTTATCACTCGTTGTTAAAAATATCCTAAACGGATGTTTGTGGGGCGTTTCCAGCATGCACAACAGATTAAAGGCGTCCATCCAGTTCGCAGCACGTTTTCGGGAAACAGCGCCAGCCTAAGAAGACACCAACACAGCCGAACCAAGTGGTGCGAGCGAGAACACCGGGAAAGTCAAAAAACCATGCGCCTACCGAGCTAGTTCCGAGTCATGCCTCCATGCCAGGCCAGTCGCCCTTCAGAGTGATCTACTACAGAAGAGGGGGCCGCCGCGCCGGCCGCGCCGGGCAGGCTCACCTGAGGTCGCGCCGGTTACACGACGAGAGCTCGTTGCGCAGTTTGTAGATGTCGGCACTGTATTTGGCTGTGTCGTGAGACCTCTCGTGAATCATCAGATTGTAGGCTTTCCTGAAACGGGACACCTTTGTCAATAGTCGCTCTGCGCAGGTCCGCCACGGCACAACGGGGCGAGCGGATAGCGGGCCGTGAGCACCGGTGCAGCGGTGCTGTTGGAAAAATGAGGGTGATGAAAACAGGCCTCGCTTTGGCGGGTGCAGGGAAGGATGCTCACGGGGGTCAAAGCTCATGGTACACCGTTCTGACCCTATTTTGAAGTTATGCCAATGGTAGTGTATGGAAGGAAACGACCTCCCGGCCACGTTTCAGCTTTCACTCCAACCCCCACCCCCTACTCCACTTCCCCTTCCTTTACTTCTTCGGCGTCTGCTGGGGCCGCCAGCGTTCCTGAAAATCACGCGAAACACTGCATGCTGAAATTTCAGAAATTTACTGAAAAATTCGTGGTATAAACCGCAAAAGATGTTCATTTTCATTCAGCTAAATCTTTCTTTTTGAGTATGTTGGGTCTCAATTTTAACATAAAAAGTTCAGTAAACATAGATCACCATTCATTCCGGAGCTTATCAAATGGTATCCCTTTACTCTCACAACAATCAGAATTAGAAGTCAGGGTGACGCTTGGTGTCCACTTCCTCGAAAAGTTTATAGACATGGGACATACTGTGAACATGACAGGAGCAAGTGTAGAGAACACAAAAAGCTACCGCCCTCAAAACGGACCGTTATATTTGTTCCGTGCTCAACACCTTCACGAATGAAAACAATGTTTGGTGCCACACTTTTGCATTCCACTTTCCTTGCTGAACGGCCATAATGTTGGTAGAACTTCCTAGTGGCAGACATACGTGTATGTCTGCCACTTGTGCTGCTAAAAACATCCCACAACTATTAGGCTGAGCGGAGCTGTTATACACACAATATTTAGGTGTAATTGATAGTGGCCGTCCGCGGTGTATCAAGACATTGCTGAAACACGAAATTGTCTGAGTTTCTGAGAAGTGGTCCAACATACATGTATCTGTCAGCTCTAAAAACGTTAGTCCGCATTTCCCACGGGCTTACACTGTTGATTCGCGTGGTGTAGCTATATCGAAAGTTGATGCTTTGCAGTTGACTCGAGGGGTGGACTGGAAACTTGAACATTGTTCATGCCCTGCTGGTTTTAGCTCCTGTCCATGTCCCCGGTCAGCGCAGGCTACGCAGCAGCGCTGAGCATGTTTGTTTGGCCTGACGGCGATGCTCGACTGTTATGCCAGATATAAGTATCAGCCGTAAACGACATGGAATGGGATGTTATTCTAAATAAGCGGCAGTGCGGTGACTAGCCAGCTTCTTAGCTCGTGCCATGAAAAGCTTCGGAGTACCGCAAGTAGCTGCATTCTCGGGACACACCGAAACATGCTCATTCCTGCCCCTAACGGTGCCCACGGAACTCCGGTCAGCCGGCCGGCAGCATGAATGGAAATCCGAGATTAGCCGCGCGCGGGTTCGTGTTGGTTCTGCTCTGGCCCGTGAGCGGCAGCGGCAGGTCCGGTCCCGCGCTAACTCACCTGAACAGTCGCTGGCAGAACTTGCAGGTGAAGTAGCGGTCCGGCGAGCCGTTCCGGTTTCCCATGCCGTAGTGAGATCGGTCGTCCATCTCAAAGGTCGTGTCCAGCATGGCTAGGCCTGGCCGGGGCGGGGCACAACGTCACACAATGTGGGCACCGAAACAACGATACAACTAAACGAGAATCCGGATGTAAAAAAAAAATGTTATGCTAGGAGCAGAACTGCAGAACAAACTGATTTCAAGTGGGATAACAAACAGCAACAAGGCCAAGGAGTAATCAATTAGTGGATTGTTTTTTTTTATAACTTTAAAAATGGAATTATTGTACTGGAACATATTGTTTATGGCAAAAAGATGCGGCTTTGGATTGTTTTGCACTGAAGCGTCTAGTCCCGGACGTTGAAAATTTATAAAGGTTTTCCTAACATGGGGATAAAAAGTAATTTATTTTAGGCCATGTTAAGAGACAAATGTTATTTATTGCCACTTTATCAGCAAAAGTGCTGTTGCTTCAATATTGGAAACTGTTAAAATTAAAAATTATACCCAACCACATCAGTCAAGGTCTGGCAGAAGCGGTGTTAACTTTCCCTTTTAGATGAACAAGAGAAGAGAAGTGTTTACGAAGAGGACCGTAACCTCCACGTAGTTTTTAGTAGTGCTCCACCACCTTTTAAAACATTCAACATCTGTTGATATGTTGAAGACCCTTCACCTGAGAGGGCACCCTCATCCCCAACTTATGGTTAGGTTAAGTTTCGGTTTGTTAGTGCTAGCTTCTGTAGCGGTCAGGAGAGACAGCCGACCGACTGGTGGACTCGGCAGGGACTAATCTGCAGGTTTGGCAGAGGCTGCAGCGACTGGCGAGAGACGGTGAGAGCAGAGGTCAGCAGGTGGTGAGAGACAGCGAGAGAAGAGGCCAGCGCCTGGCGAGAGACGGTGAGAGTAGCGGGCGGTGAGTCGGCGGTGAGAGGCCGACAGCACCTCCCACCGCGCCCTGCACCAGCGCGCCGTCCCCGCTGCAGCCGACAGCGAGATGTGAAGACAAAACATTACTTACTACCGCCCGTTTAGATGACTTTCGCATGCAACACATTGTGTATCTGAAACACCCAGAACATGCATTTAGGTCAGCGAGGCGAGACGATGCGTCTCTCGCGCTCACACGTCCCCAGATGACTTTATCATGCAATCGATCGAACACCCGCACACCCTACACCATGCATTTACCCCGTCCCCCTGTGTAAACCGCGGACCGTCTAACTGCCGTGCAGATCTGCTGGGGCGGGCACACGGCAGGACACTATATCGGATTGAAACAGGCTCAGGTAAGGCCATCGGAGAGGACAGGAACTGGACCAGACCGTGTGAGGTCCTAGAGGACAGGGACCGGGACAGGTGAGGCCACAGTGAGTGAGATATCTCCGGGAACAGACAGACAGCACGAGACAGGAAAAGGATGGCTCATGGCTCATTCATTGTCGCTCCTCTGTGACTTTGCATGACCAGCCAAAGGTGTCATAATCCGGAGCTGGAATCGGCCGGGCCAGGCGAGAGCTGGAGCAACATGTGATGTGGTGGGGCTGAGCTCACCCCCGCTCACTCCTCGTGCCATACCGAGCTACCGGGCCGGCTCAGCGGGGATGGGGACGGGAGGGTAGCACGGGATCGAGTTGAGGTGGGACGAGCTGTCAAGCTACAAACAGGCTGGAAATGGTGCTTACAAACCCCGTACAACCGCGGCCCAATACACATGTATCCCCCATACGCCGCCTACGTCCTCTGAGCCGTAGGCCCCATGCAGCGCTAGCTAATACCGTCTAATACGCTCAAATGAGTGCATCTTGCCACCTTGTCTGGCGATCCACCCTGGGGAGGGGCGATAGTCAGCTAATGCCGCACCCAAGGTGAGCGACCGGACACCGTGGATTAGGCGGCCGCGGCCGGACGGCCCACTCCCAATTTCACACTCTGTTGGCCGATCGGCCGGCCCGGTAGCTCGGGCATCACACGAGCGACTGCCGGCGCGGCGATCGGCACGCAACTGCGGCCGACAGGTGCTGCGGCGACTCGTCACCTGTCGCTGTTTGCGGCGCGGCTAATGCGGCGGCTAATCTGGCCGGTGGCTCACGGCCCGCTGCAGGTGATTGATGCGCGGCAGCGCGCCGCCGGCTGCGGCCCTTTTTGCAGCGCCGGCCGCCGCCGGCCGCCGCTGCCGTGTTACGCGCGCCCGTCCCGTGTCAGCCCAGCGCCCCGGGCGGTCCCGTGCGCGGCGCGTGCCGAGCCCGCGGTCACAGGGGCGACCAGCTGGGAACTGCAGCTGACAGGTGTACTGGGTGTAATGTGAGAGACAGGAGGACGGGATCTGTGTGTCCTGTCCGGGTGATTTGTGGACCAAATGAGCTAGACAACGGAAGGAAACAGACTGACACGGTAGCAAATATGAGCGGAATTATTTTAGATGCGACATAACCGTCAATGAGCAATTATGAATTAATGAATTTGATGGGGTCCAATAAAGTCACAGTGGTCATAGGTGATAGGGCTGGTAGCCTTTTGTATAAAAGTGCCTTTTTCTTATTAAGCCTGCAATGAAGATTCTGGGCTGTAATGTAAATAGAACCAAGAAATGTCGGCTCCATACCTATATCGTCCTTCTATTTTAATGCCGGTGTGTAATTAAGATACGAGAGCAAATCGTTACAGTTCAATGAATAATAAACGTTTTTTTTATTCTGAGTGGAGCTGTCTCTGACCTTATCACTCTCAGACGAAGCGAAAACGGTCGAAGCACAAACGGTTCTCCTAAAATTCATTGTCAGATGCAATATTTTCTTCCATTATTTCATAGCCGTATTGATTTAAAAATCGGTGTAAAATGAGTTATGGCCTGGTGCCCCGTCCATTTTCGGTAATCGAAAAGAAAAAATGTGCGGTACCCGCTGATATTTCTCTTTTACTCAGCCACGGATATAATTGATTCAAAACTTTCAGCTTTTGCCGCTAAGAGAAATAGGCGTGCGGTGAAAATATATTTTGGCCGGCCTAACAATATGAAATATTTTGAGATTCAAGAGGTTGATGAATCGACATATTTTTCTGAATAAACACCTCTTTTAGATGTGATTACAACAATACCAGTAGGTACGGCAGGAGACGGCAGCACTCTTCTCTTTCTCGAAACGACCAACGATTAAAATGGCAAAAGAAAACTTACAACTGGCAAAGAGGAACGGTCCTTAGAAGGTGCCTTCCATTTGTGAGGAAAATGTTTGATGTGCCAACCTGACACCGCTCTTATCTAGTTACAACCGCGCGGTGTCTCCAAATCGGGTGTGGAACGTCCCAGAACCGCTGGAACACACTCGGTGACAATATGCATGCATGCCAGCCCAGGATTCCGATCAGCGGTAGTGGCGGGCTGCCGTGCCGGCCTCCGTTCGCTACCGGCAGCGGCTACCATTTGTGAGGCCGTGTTCCCGTCCGTGGGTGATAGGCCCATATGGACCCGGACAGGGCGCAGGGCTCGAATTTAGAGCCGGCGGAGTTTTTACTAGTCGAGAGACCGGTGAGCACGGGAATGTGTGATTGAGTCAGGTTGGGCCGTCACAGCCGACGAAGGGCCGATGCTGCCCCCCGCGGGCAGTTTGATGCCCGCGGGCCCGCGAGTGTTGCTCGGCGTGGGATCAGTGGTCCCAGACCCAGCCCCAGTCCCAGTACCAATCCCAATCCCAATCCCAGCCCCAGTGCCAGTCTATCCCTGCAGCAGCGAGCGCGGATTGCCGGACAGAGTTCCCACCTTGCCGAGCCGCGGCGGCAGCAGGCGGGCAGGTGCGATGTGATTGATTGGGGTACGCTCCAGTGGGACCCGCTGGGACTGATGGGGACGGCGACACACGGCCGCCGACAGGGCACCCTCGTGTCGGCCCGGTATCAGGTGACGGTGACGGCCCGCCGCCCGGCTCACCTGAGTTAGAGGGCTCCTGCGATCCAAACGAGTCCACCTCTGATCACAGAATGGGGCTTCGGCGCTGCCACAACGCCCTGGTCTTCCATCTTCATTTTTTCTATACATTTTTGCACAATGCGTGGCAAGTTTGGTGACGTCATCCGGTCCACCCCCGCGGTGTGATTGGCGGGTGCCGCCGTGACGCTGCGCTGCGGCGTCGGTCATTGGTCGGCGGCGCGAGGGGGCGGGGTCGGGGCGGCCGCGGTTGGGGAGCCGTCCGGCGGCCAGCGCCAGTCGGCACAAAGACGGCCGGCCGGGGTACGGGCGCCGGGGCGCGGCGGCACGGCCGGGGTACAGGCGCTGGGATACGGGCGCTGGGTGCGCGCCGCGGGCGGGGAGCGTGGCTGGCATGCACTGCAATCCGACACGGTCCACAATTCTGGCATACCTATAACTCAGTCCTGTTACTCCACACGATTCCACACAGGTGACAATCCTGACAAACGCAAGATAAGTATATTTCCCCAAGACTAGCCATCACCATCCTTGTTTATGTTGCCTTGTCAGGGCTGTGGCGGTGGTCGCCACAAGACATCCAGATGAAATGGTGAAGCCAACTCAATCCCGGGCACATTACACCTCACAGGGGTAGCCGATTATGTAACTGGTTGGTCTGTCCCACTGGGACACCCCGTATCGCCGGGGGAACGTGCACTGCCGCTGCGGCGCGCTGTCGGTGATCCTCTCAGTCCAATGTCTCCACCCCATCCTCTTAGCACATCGATGTGCATTACTGTTTTATGCAATGGTCTTATTGGACCGAAAGCGACTGCTTTGAATAAGACTGCACAAAAAGTGAGTTGTAGACAATGCGAGCCGTTCTGTGTCAGCAGAGCGTCTCACAATCTGCTGAGCCACCACAGCAGAGCGTATAGTTGGATGACGATTTAATCGCATGCTGACCGGCCGCGGAAGCCTACACACAGCATAACACGCAACATCAGCAGAAGTGCGATGTGCGCACTGACGGTAGTGCACGCGATGTGAACAGCGCCAGTTGTCTGCAGGCACAGTCGGCCGACCAAAGCCAGACGTAGGTACTGATATCTGATGAGCGCCGCTCTGGGTCTCTGGGCGCCCATTTCAAATGTCATAAAAAATATGTGACCTCTGAGCATTACAAGGCTGCTACTTGTTTTGATTTAACAGCAGGTTTGGCTGATCTGTCACAAAGCCTTGTCCTATTCGGTACCTGTAGGAGAACGGAACGCTAAAATATGTTTTATATGGCTGAAATCGAAGAGGGAAAAGTAGAATTTTCGCTTGACAGTAATCGGTCACTGCTCTGCATTCCGATCAAGGTCATAAAAGCATTGGATGTAACATAGCGGGCCTAAAAGTCTTTAGAAGATAAAATTGGACTTTTCCCAGCGTCGTCCTGGCCGTCAACTCGTATCAACAGCATTATGGGCCCCCATTTGTTTTCCCGAACATTTGAAAGCGGAGGTGAAGGGACCCCTTGGAGACTTGTTAGACAGCCACTTTCATCATCCAATTTCTGTTGAAATAGGCAGAAATCGTATTCGTGTGAACATATAGGTATGTTTATGCGATCAGTTGCAGCCTGAACCGACCAGCCAATGAGCCAACGTTTGTACGTCAAAACATTTTTTTTTGCACATCGGGAGGCCAAGCATTAATACGAGAAAGAAGTCACCCTCTGTCTGTTGAATTTTAGCTTGCCATGAGTGCTGTACGAAAATCAAAATCATGTGCTGTACCCCGAAGGGCTTACAAAGGCGACTGACTTAACATAAAACGTTTTATGAGCTGTTTACACGTAAATGTAGAACGAAAGAGTATAGGGGAGACTGGTGGAAGTGGGTCAAAACTTTTTTTTATAAAGTTATGACCTTTTTGTATCATAAAGTCTACCTGAAAAATCGTACAAAATCGAATGCTTAGGATTCGCCCAAACGGCTTGAATTTTCTAGCAAACGAGCTTTTTCGTCCTTTGCTTCTTTTACATCTAGGTTTTGAAGTTTCAATCATAATTAACATGATTCTCAATCAATCGAATTTTATCGAAAGGTAATATTAAGGCGCACTGGGACACGTTTAGAATGTAGGAGCTAAATGTAGGAGAGAACTGGGGCTGACCAGGGTGTGTGACAAAAATGATTGCCTACCTATATAATAGATATAGAATTTGATGTCCCAATGCCAATCAAAAAGGGATTTAAAAATTGACACAAAAGAAAAAAGCTGCCTAACTAACTTTTTATTTTAACCCTCGCCTGGCAGGGCATTTTTCATAACACGGCCTGGCAGGGGGGTCGATGCGACCCCCCTTCGCGATTGGCTCCTATGGCACCTAGAAACACCAAATTTGGTAGGTAGGTGGGTCCCCTGGAGTTCTCGCCCCTCTGCAAATTTGGTTGCTCTAGGTCAATATTTAGGGGGTTTTGGGGGGTATAAATGTAAAAATTTCGCTAAAAACAGTTCAAATGTTTTTCGCTTATAACTTTTGATCTAATTAAAATAGAGCAAAAAGGAAAGCACCAATGAACTCAGCACGTCAAGGCGCGTCGAATGGTATACCCTTTAACCTGCTTAAGTGTACTTAAAGTTTTTCTTAAATTTTAATGAAACTTAAATTAATTAATTAAGTTCAAGCTAACCAAATTGCATTATATTGCATATCATTCGATTCGGCTGATCACAAGGAACACAATGACACCATTTTTAAGCTCTAGCTTCATTATCTGCCAAGTTATTGGCAAAAACATCATTTGACCTCAGTTGACCTCATTTGACCTGACCCATGGATAAGTACACCAAACAAAGAAGCATCAAGTGACCTGCTGTTAATTACTGTGGTTTCAAAGCGCAAAAGTGATAGAACGAAGCGGATATGTCCAGTATTTTCCGAATTTAGTATTTTCCCATAGGCTTAACATTACGACATAATGACCTCGGCTCTAACTGACCTCAGGTCAGTGACATCAAAAAACCCGAACTATATGTTATACAACTCGGTGAACTTAGCACACCCTGAAAGTTTGAAGGAAATCAGTCAAAAACTGTGAGTTTAACAGGTGCAAAAAGAAAATTGAAATTTGACCATGACCTTGTACCGATTTTACTGACCTGGTGACCTGACCTAAGGTCACCCGGACCTGAAATGTTCAGGTCATATGTAAAAAGGCTGCCCCATAGGCTGTGCCAAATTTGGCGGCGCTGCGTGCCGCCGTTTTTACGCTATCTTCGAAAAACCTTAGGGGGGGTTGCATCGACCCCCCCCCTGCCAGGGTGAGGGGTAACACTCGGATGGGTTATATGGGAAGTTTTGAAATTGGAAAAAAAACGAATGGAGCCATAAGTGACGTCATATGACTCAAATGTACCTACTTGAATCTTAGCACATTGCTTGATAGGTGATAGTCCATATATGCATCTTTTGACTTTTTGGTCTTCAAAATATGAAATAAGCGGAACTCAAATGATAAATATAAATATTTTATCACACATTCTTATCAGCCTTAAAAAACATGCATTTTTATAGGCAACTGTGAACCACCATGAAGAGCTACTTTCATTGTCTTTTGTTGTTTTGTATTCAACCTCCATTAGATTTGCGCCTCTTAAAAAATTGATAGCTTTTCCCAGTTTCTTGAAGCTTGTATGCTGTGACCTCACAAAAATGGTCATAAGCTCGTTTATAGACAAATCAAACCTAAGTTAATAGACAATGTAAAACTGATTCATAAGAAAGTACAAAAAGTTTCACGTTATCGTTTTATCGGTTCTTGTCCCATGAGCTATATCACGAGTGATTAGCATGGAGGCTGACACCGCCCTTCTCCTCGATAACTGTCAGGGAGTTGAGGCTTCGCAACACTGTTCGCCCTTCACCTATACCAGTGGCCGCCCACTATGTATATGTAGTGTGCATGCTGAATGGGTGTGTTCATTCCCCATTCGGCGCGGAGAACAGAAGTCGCCAGCCCGCGCAGCCAGTCCCCTTTTGGTGACACCTCTGTGAGCGCGTGAGTGCTGACCTGTGAAAAATGTCGCCACAAAAATCGTCTGCCGCTACCGTGTCGTCTGCAGCGCGCATTAGCGGCGCCGGGCGGGACGGTGTTCGGCGCACACCATCGCCTCATAGAGCGGCGCGCGGCCGTGTCACTGATGGCTAACAGCCACCGGTGCAGCACGGCAGCTCGGTCCTTCTGCGAAGGCGGGCTCACCACCAGCACCCCTGTGTGGGGCTCCATAGAGACCACACGGTGGGTGTGGTCACCCAAAACTGCTTCCGTGGCCTAAATCAGTCCTATTTTATTTTCTAAAATTCTAAATCATTTGATGCCTGTTGTATGTAAGGCATATAGCCTTCAGAGGCCAGGCTGTACCTGTCCCTAATTTCAGCAGAGTCAGGCTCAGTGGAGCGAGTCCTGTCTCAGCTGGCCCTCCTGCAGCGGAGACACAATGGGGCGAGCCCTGTCTCCTGTCCCTCAGCACCCTGTCTCAGCTGGCCCTCCCAGCAGAGACGCAATGGGGCGAGTCCTGTCTCCTGTCCCTCAGCACCCTGTCTCAGCTGGCCCTCCCAGCAGAGACGCAATGGGGCGAGCCCTGTCCCTCTCAGCGAAGAGTCAGTGGGGCGAGCCTTATCTCCTGTCCATCCCAGCAGCGTTGGACTCAGTGGGGGACTCGCTGGACTCTCCTGTCTCTCAGGACCCTGTCTCCTGTCCCTCCTAGTGGAGACACACTGGGACGGGCTCTGTCTCCAGTCCCTCCCAGAGCGGAGCCGGGGCCGGCGGGCCCTGTCCCTCCTAGCGGAGACTCAGCGGGGGAGCTGTCTCCCTCCAGTCCCTCCCAGCAAAGACTGAAGGCGCTAGACCAGGCCCGTCTCCTATCTTTTCCAGTCTCCTGTCCATCCCAGCGGAGCCGGGGCCGGCGGACAGCGAGTTCACTCCGGCCCGGTGCCCACTGCCGGCCACCACTGATCGGATCGGCTCCTGTTCGCCCACACCCGCCCCGGCCCGGACCGGCAGCGCGCGATGGCACCGCTCGCGTGCTCTATCGGCCGTGTACCGGCGGAGGCCGCGCTGCCTCTGTTCAGCGGCCGACACGAACCCGGCGCGACGCCGCGGCCTGCACCGAACACATAGAGCTCCGCGGTCCCACCAACTGGCCGGCGCGGCGGCCCATCGAACACAGGCGCGGGTAGAGCTGCCCAGTCCCACCACCCGGCGCCCCCAGTCCCCTCATCCTGACAGAGCTCCTCATTCCCCAGCCTCCTCACCC